TTTAGCTCTGTGATATCACCTGATGGATCTCTCTGTGCCTCTTGAGGTCAACTGCATGTCTCTCCAGTGGCTCTGGGATGTCACCTCTTGTGTCTATCCTTTGGCTCTGTGACATCAGCTATAGGGTCTGTCATGCGCCTTTTTGATATCAAGAGAAGTGTCATTCCTGTGATGTCAGCGAAAGGATCTCTCTGTGCCCCTGTGATTTCAACTGAAGCCTGTTTCTAGGGCTCTGTGATGTAACCTGAAGGGTCTCTCTCTTGCTCTGTGATGTCACCTTAAGCATCTCTCTGTGGCTCTCTGATGTCAGCCGAAGAGTCTCTTTTTGGCTTTGTGAGGTCAACTGAATGATCTCTATGTGGCTCTGTGATGTCACCTGAAGAGTCTCTCTGTGAATCTGTGATGTCACCTGAAAGGTCTCTCTGTGGCTCTTTGATGTCACCCGAAGTGTCTCTCTGTGGCTCTGTGATGTCACCTGAGTGTCTCTCTGGTACTGTGATGTCACCTGCAGGGTTTTCTGTGACTCTGTGATGTCACTGAAGCATCTCTCTGTGTGTCTGTGATGTCAACTGAAGGGTCTCTCTGTGGCTTTGTGATGTCACCTTAAGAATGTCTCTGTGGATCTGTGAGGTCAGTGAAGGGTCTATTTGTGGCTTTGTGATGTCACCTGAATGATCTCTATGTGTCTCTGTGATATCTCCTAAGGGTCTCTCTGTGGCTCTGTGATGTCACCTGTGGGGTCTCTCTGTGGCACTGTGATGTCACCTGAAGGGTCTCTCTGTTGCTATGTGATGTCACAAATAGTGTCGTTCCTGTTGCTCTGTGATGTCAACTGAAGTGTTTTTCCTGTGGCTCTGTGATGTCACCAATAGTGTCTTTCTTGTTGCCTGTGATGTCACCCGAAGGGGCTCTCTGTTGCTCTGTGATGTCACAAATAGTGTCATTCCTGTGACTCTGTGATCTCACAAATAGTGCCTTTCTGGAGGCTCTGTGATGTCACCTTAAAGGCCGCTCTTTGGCTCTGTGATGTCACCTGAAGGGTCTCTCTGTGGCACTGTGAAGGTCACCTGAAGCTCTCTCTGTGTCTCTGTGATGTCAACTCAATTGTCTCTCTGTGGCTCTGTGATGTCAACTGAAGGGTCTCTCTGGCTCTATTTTGTCAGCTCAAGGGACTCTCTGTGGCTTTGTGATGTCACCTGTAGGATCTATCTTTGGCTCTGTGATGTCAACTGAAGGGTCTCTCTGTGGCTCTGTGATGACGATATCACGTGAAGTGTATCTCTCTGGCTAGTGATGTCACCTGAAGTGTCCCTCAGTGGATCTGTGATGACACCTGGTGGCTCTGTGATGTCACCTGATGGTCACTCTCTGGTACTGTGAGGTCAGCAAAAGTTTCTCTCTGTGGCTCTGAGATATCACGTGAAGTGTATCTCTCTGGCTAGTGATGTCACCTGAAGTGTCCCTCAGTGGATCTGTGATGTCACCAGAAGGGTCTCTCTGTGTTACTTTGATATCACCTGAAGGGTGTCTTTGTGTCTTTTTGATGTCACCTGACAGGTCTCTGAGTGGATTTGTGGTGTTTTCTGATGGTCCATTCTGTGGTTCTATGATGTCACCTGAAGGATCTCTGTGTCTCTGTGATGTTACCTAAAGCGTCTCTCTGTGTCTCTGTGATGTCACCTGAAGGGTCTCACTGTGGCTCTATGATGTCCCCTGAAGGGACTCACTGTGAATCTGTGATGTCACCTGAAGTTTCTCTTTTTTGCTCTGTGATGTCACCTGAAGTGTCCCTCAGTGGATCTGTGATGACACCTGAAGGGTCTCTCTGTGGATTGTGATGTCACCTAGAGAGTCTCTTTGTGGCTCTGTGATGTCACCTGATGATTTCACGGTGGTTCTGTGATGTCACCTGAAGGGTCGCTCTATGGCACTGTGACATCCTGAATAGTCTCTCTGTGGCTCTGTGATGTCACCTGAAGTTTCTCTATGTGGGTCTGTGATGTCAACTGAAGGGTCTCTCTGTGGCTCTGTGATGTCACCTTAAGCATCTCTCTGTGGTTCTGTGATGTCACTGCAGGGTGTTTCTGTGGCTCAGTGATGTCACCTTAAGCATCTCTCTGTGGCTCTGTGATGTCACATGAAGGGTGTCTCTGTGGCTCTGTGATGTCACGTGACGTTTCTCTTTGTGGTTCTCTGATGTCACCTGAAGTGACCCACTGTGGATCTGTGATGACACCTGAAAGGTCTCTCTGTTGCTGTGTGATGTCACTTGGAGCATCTCTCTGTGGCTCTGTGATATCACCTGATGATTTCACTATGGCTCTGTGATGTCACATGAATGGTCTTCATGTGTCTCAGTGATGTCACCTGAATTGTCTCTTTGTGGCTCTGTGATGTCAACTGTAGTGTCCCTCAGTGGATCTGTGATGACACCTGAAGGTTCTCACTTAGGCTCAGTGATGTCATCAGGAGAGTCTCTCTGTGGCTCTGTTATGTCAACTGATGATTTCTCTGTGGTCTGTGATGACAACTGAAGGGTCTCTCTATGTCTCTGTGATGTCACCTGAATATTCTCTCTGTGGCTCTTTGATGTCACCTGAATTGTCTCTATGTGGCTCTGTGATATCAACTGCAGGATCTCTCTGTGGATCGGTGATGTCAACTGAATGGTCTCTCTGTGGCTCTGTGATGTCACCTGATGTCGCTATGTGGCTCTGTTATGTCACCTGAAGTGTCTCTCTGTGGCTCTGTGATGGCAAATGAAGGTACTTTCCAGTGGCTCTGTGTTATAACCTGAAGTGTCTTTCCTATTTCTCTGTGATGTCACCAATAGTGTCTTTCCTTTGGCTCTGTGACATCACCTGAAGGGTCTATCATGTGCCTCTGTGATATTACCAGAAGTGTCATTCCTGTGCCTCTGTGATGTCTCCCGAAGATTCACTCCTGTTTCTCTGTGATGTCACCTAAAGGTCTTTTCTGGTTCAGTGATGTCACCTGAAGAGTGTCTTAGTGGCTTTGTGATGTCATCTGAAATGTCTCTCTCTGATTGTGTTGTCACCTGAGGTGTCTTTCCTCGGCTCTGTGATGTCATATGAAGGGTATCTCTCTGGTTCTGTAATGTCACATTAAGCATCTCTCTGTGGCTCTTTGATGTCACCTGTATGTTCTCTCTGGGGCTCTGTGATGTCACATTAATCATCTCTCTGTGGGTCTGTGATGTCTCATTAAGTGTGTCTCTGTGGCTCTGTGATGTCACCTGAAGTGTCTCTTTGTGGCTCTGTGATGTGACCTGAAGTATCCCTCTGTGGATCTGTGATGACACCTGGAGCCTCTCTGTGTCTCTGTGATGTCACCTGATGAATTCACTGTGGCTCTGTGATGTCACCTGATGAATTCACTGTGGCTCTGTGATGTCACCTGAAGGGTCTTCATGTGGCTCTGTGATGTCAACTGAAGGGTCTCTCTTTGGCTCTGTGATGTCACCTGAAGGGTCTTCATGTGGCTCTGTGATGTCAACTGAAGGGTCTCTCTTTGGCTCTGTGATGTCACCTGAAGGGTCTCTTTGCGGCTCGGTGTTGTCACCTGAAGGGTCTATCTGTGGCACTGTGATGATACCTGAAGGGTCTCTCTGTGACTCTGTGATGTCAACTGGAGAGTCATTCAGTTGCTGTTTGATGTCACCTGAAGGGTCTCACTGTGGCTCTGTGAGATCACCTGAAGGGTCAGTCTGTGGCTCTGTGATGTCACCTGAAGTGTCTCTCTGTGGCTCTGTGATGTCACATGAAGGGAGTCTCTGTGACTCTGTGATGTCACCTAAAGTGTCTCTTTGTGCCTCTGTGATTTCACCAGAAGTGTCTCTCTGTGGCTCTGTGATGTCTCCAGAAGTGGCTCTCTGTGGCTTTTTATATCACCTGAAGTGTCCCTCAGTGGATCTGTGATGACACCTGAAGGTTCTCTCTGAGGGTCTCTGATTTCACCTGGAGAGTCTCTGTGGCTCTGTGATGTCACCTGATGATTTCACTGTGGCTATGTGATGTCAACTGTAGTGTCTCTCTATGGCTCTGTGACGTCACCTGAATAGCCTCTATGTGGCTCTTTGATGTCACCAGAAGGGTCTCTATGTGGCTCTGTTATGTCACCTCAAGGGTCTCTCTGTGGATCAGTGATATCAACTGAAGGGTCTCTCTGTGGCTCTGTGATGACACCTGAATGGTCTCTCTGTGGCTCTTTGATGTCACCTGAAGGATCTCACTGTGCCACTGTGATGGCAACTGAAGGTACATTCTAGTGGCTCTGAGATGTAACCTGAAGTGTCTTTCCTGTTTTTCTGTGATGTCAACAATAGTGTCTTTCCTCTGACTCTGTGATGTCACCTTAAGCGTCTCTCTGTGGTTCTGTGATGTCAACTGAAGTGACCCTCTGTGGATCTGTGATGACACCTGAAAGGTCTCTCTGTTGCTCTGTGATGTCACCTGGAGCGTCTCTCTGTGGCTCCTTAATGTCACCTGATGATTTCACTATGGCTCTGTGATGTCACCTGAAGGGTCTTCATGTCTCAGTGATTTCACCTGAAGGGACTCTCTGAGGCTTTGTATATCACCTGAAGTATCCCTCAGTGGATCTGTGATGACACCTGAAGTATCTCTCTGTGGCTCTGTGATGTCACCTGGAGAGTCTCTCTGTGGAACTCTGATGTCACCTGATGATTTCACTGTGGCTCTGTGATGTCAACTGAAGGGTCTCTCTATGGCTCTGTGACATCACATGAATAGCCTCTCTGTGGCTCTTTGATGTCACCAGAAGTGTCTCTATGTGGCTCTGTGATGTCACCTTAAGCATCTCTCTGTGGTTCTGTGATATCACCTGAAGTGTATGTCTGTGGCTCTGTCATGTCACCTGAAGGGTCTCTGTGGCTCTGTGATGTCACATGAAGGGTGCCTCTGTGGCTCTGTGATGTCACCTAAAGTATATCATGTGTCTCTGTGATGTCACCTGAAGAGTTTCTCTGTGGCTGTGTAATGTCACCTTTATCGTCTCTCTGTGGCTGTGTGATGACACCTGGAGGTTCTCTCTGTGGCTGTGTGATGTCACCTTAATCGTCTCTCTGGGGCTCTGTGATGTCACATTAATTATATCACTGTGGCTCTGTGATGATACATATAGGGTCTCACTGTGGCTGTGTTGTCACATGAAGGGTGTCTCTGTGGCTCTGTGATGTCACCTGAATTGTCTCTTTTTGGCTCTGTGATGTCACCTGAAGTGTCCCTCAGTGGATCTGTGTTGTCACCTGAAGGGTGTCTCTGTGGCTTGTTATGTCACCTGGAGAGTCTCTTTGTGGCTCTGTGATGTCATCTGATGATTTCACGGTGGTTCTGTGATGTCACCTGAAGGGTCTCTCTATGGCACTGTGATGTCCTGAATAGTCTCTCTGTGGCTCTGTGATGTCAGCTGAAGTTTCTCTATGTGGGTCTGTGATGTCAACTGAAGGGTCTCTCTGTGGCTCTGTGATGTCATCTCAAGCATCTATCTGTGGCTCTGTGATTTCCTATGAAGGGTGTCTCTGTGGCTCTGTGATGGCAAAGGAAGTTACTTTCCAGTGGCTCTGTGATGGCAACTGAAAGTACTTTCCAGTTTCTCTGTGATGTCAAAAATAGTGTCTTTCCTGTGGCTCTTTGATGTCACCTGAAGGGTCTCCTGTGGCTCCGTGATGTCACTTTAAGCATCTCTCTGTGGTTCTGTGATGTCACCTGAAGTGTCTGTCTCTGGCTCTGTCATGTCACCTGAATAGTTTCTGTGGCTCTGTGATGTCACATGAAGGGCATCGTTGTGGTTCTGTGATGTCACCTGAAGTGTCTCTCTGTGGCTCTGTGATGTCCCCTGAAGTGTCATTCCTGTGGCTCTGTGATGACACCATTGTGTCTTTCCTGTGGCTCTGTGATGTCATCTAAAGTGTCTCATTCTGGTTCTCTGATATCCTTTGAAGAATCTCTCTGTGGCTCTGTGAGATCACCTGAAGGTTCTCTGTGGTTCTGTGATGACACCTGAACTGTATGTCTGTGGCTCTGTCATGTCACCTGAATGATTTCTGTGGCTCAATGATGTCACATGAAGGGTCTCTGGGTGGCTCCGTGATGTCACCTTAAGTGTCTCTCTGTGGTTCTGTGATGACACCTGAACTGTATGTCTGTGGCTCTGTCATGTCACCTGAATGATTTCTGTGGCTCAATGATGTCACATGAAGGGTCTCTGGGTGGCTCCGTGATGTCACCTTAAGTGTCTCTCTGTGGTTCTGTGATGTCAACAATAGTTTCTTTCCTGTGGCTCTGTGATGTCACCTGAAGGGTCTCTGGGTGGCTCCGTGATGTCACCTTAAGTGTCTCTCTGTGG